TTTTGTCTTAAGGAAATAAATTAAAAGGAAAATATTTTTATGTTTTTTATGTTAATAAAAAAAATGATGAAAAGGAAAATAAATGCAAGATAGAAAAAGAGTTTTGCTGCAAGAAGAACAACTAGGATCAGAAGTTCTGAAGCCAAGAGCGTTGTGACTCTGCAAGAAACGTCAGTGGGTATCAGAATTTCTGAGTTGATAAACTCTGAGGTCCTGCAAGAAATGTTAGAGGACAGACACAAAATATCTGGGTTGCATTCAGACAGTGGGCCACAAGTCAGAAGTTATGTATTACACTAAAACAGTGAGTAAACATCAGCAGTTCAGTGCGTTATCAGCATGTAAAAATCAGAAACTCTGAGTGTTTGAAAACAACGAGTGGAAACATCAGAAGTTTAGTGTATTTGACATGTAAGGAGAACTCAGAAGTTTTGTGCTGTGTTAAAATAGTGAGTGAATCATCAGAAGTTATGAATTGTGCTGAGCCAGTGAGTGAACATTAGCAATTCAGTGCGTTATCAGCATGTGAGCATCAGAAGTTCAATGTGTGTTAACAGTGAGGAAAATCACAGAAGTTCTGTGTGTTAAAACAGTGAAGAGAACTCATAAGTTTTGTGTGTGTTTAACAGTGAGAAAAATCATAGAAGTTCTGTATGTTAAAACAATGAATGAACATCAGAAGTTTTAATGCCATATTTCAACACTCAATCAACACATCAGTAATCTATTCAGTTTTCAACAATCAGCAAGTCAGAAGGATAAAAACATAAAAGTTTACAGAAGTTCTAATCCTGATCCTGAGCCTAGCCTTAATCAAGAAGTTCTGATCCATAGTTTTTCTACTTAAGAAATGATATGTACAACATTAATACTATGATATTTACATGTTAATGATGTTCAGAACGAAAAAACAAGCAAAGTCAAGCAGACTTACCTTGAACTTGGAGCGTGCTTGGAGCTTTGAGTTGTTGCCTTAGGATGTTCTGAGTCAGCAAGAGAAACGGAAGATGAAATGCCAAGCTCTTTGATTCAAAAGGAAGAACAAAAGTTATGGTTTTCTGTTTGGGATTTCTAGATTTTTTTATGGAAGTATCGCAACTTTCTTTTCTCTTTTAATAATTCTCTCTTTCCAAAAGCCATCCCCTTGAACGTGTGATGGAGCCAAGTATTTATAGGTGATTTTGTTGTGGTTTTGGGGGGAAAGACAAATGGGATTTGAACATTTTTGGTATACTGTTCCCTTGCTTTTTCATCACTGTTTTTGTATGCTAGTTTGGTGCAATTATGGGATGCAGGCGTAGGCTGAACTAGATGTTGGTTATAGGTCTGTAGCAGGTTGTATAAACAAGGTTTTGGGATTTGGTCAAGTTATGACCAAAGCGTTGAATATAGCCTTCATATGCTGAAGCGCTACCTTGTTCTTGAAGAAAGCATGGTGGTTGTCAGCAGGAATTAAGGAAAAGCAAAAAAGCAAAGCATGGGCCTAGTATCAGAGTTTGCTATCCCAAGACAGTAGAGGTACACGTGGTGGAAATCCTTTATATAAAGACTCAAAAGTGGTTGTGAGCATTAAATAAGCATTAAATGATGATGAGACTTATCACAACCAGAAATCCTGCAACGTGCGATTCTACACCATGGCTTAGTTCTGGATCAGAAGTTCTGAGCTTGCGTAACATCCAATCTTCTAATCCTTATCTTCTGGCTCCAGCATGTTCTGAAGGAACTTTCAGACTTTGCAGCATGCTTCTTAACCTTCTTTGAATTACCCTGGCAAACTATGACTGAAGCTTTTGTGAAAACTTGCCCAGAAGTTCTGACCAAACTCTGCCTTGAGAGTGTCCAGAATTTGCTGAGTGTTATGGTGATAATCTGGTCAGAGAAGATCAGAAGTGTAACCTCTATATGCTGAAGATGACGGTCACATACAAAGACTGGCATGAGATTCTACCATTATCTCTCCACGGATATCATACCACGGCTCGCACATCAACCAGGGCAACACCCTATTCTTTGGTTTACGGCATGGAGTCTGTCTTGCCTATCGAGGTTCAGATCCCCTCTCTGAGGATTATGAAGGATACAAGGCTGAACAAAGACGACTGGATCCAGACTCGACTTGATCAACTAAACTTGATTGATGAGAAGAGACTTACTGCTGTTTTCCATGGTCAGATGTATCAAAAATGGATGATTAAGGCTTTCAACAAGAAAGTCAGGCGCCAAGTGTATCAAGTTGGAGATCTAGTGATCAAACGCATCATCTTGCCACAAGGTGATCCCAGGGGCAAATGGACTCCTACCTATGAAGGACCATTTGTAATCAAAAACATTTTCTCTGGTGGGGCAATGATCTTGACCACCATGGATGGTGATGACCTGCCGCACCCTGTGAACATGGACATAGTCAAAGGATACTACGCATAAGAGACCCGCTAGGTTGACACGCCTAGGAAAAATAAGGGCATCCCAACGAACCAAAAGGTTAGGGCAAAAGTTAGGGATAAAACAAAAAAATTTGTACACCCAGAAAGTTGAAAACCCGAAAGGGAGACTTGGGCAAAAAAGGGTTTCCCGGTGGACTGAAAACCTGAAAGGGCGGTCAAGGCAAAAGTTAGGGAATTAAGGTGTACGACTATGTCCCGTTGGATCACTTTATGGACAAACTTTAGCTTCCACTGACAAAATCAGAGGTTCTGATCAATTCAATCATCTTTGGGAGAGGCAACAAATAGACAAGATGCTCAAAGATACGAAGGCTATAGCAGAATGGGAATCCCACGGGATTTTTTACACATAGCTATCTTTTCTTTATATCAAAATTTTTATTTTTTATGACAGCGTTCTCCTACTAGAATGTTTGTCCCCTTGTACAAAAATACTCATTCAAAGTCAATACAAAACATCGCTTTGAAAGTGCAAAAACTATTTGTCTTTTCTTTACGCTTGTGTTTTATTTACAAAAAGGTCCAATGATTCATTGTTGAACATATACATTTGAACATAATTACTGTTTACAAATAAAAAAAATAAAAAGAGGCAATTACTGATAGGTTGAAAGATAGGAAAACATCTCTAGGCTATTCCATAGGTAATCCCCTGCAGTACGTCGTTTAAATCCCCAGCCGAACAATATTTCAAATTATTGATCCCCAGTAGAAGTCGTCAAATTTCTCAGGATTTCCCAATAGGATTTTACAAGCAGCACATGGCATTTCCTTTACAACTGAGTTTATTTCTCAAAGCGGAAATTCATCAACACTTTGACTTCAAAGCATGAAGACTTACATATCCTCAACAACAGTCATGGATTTATTTTCCCCAATCCAACAGCAGTGCAACAGATTAGTTTGCATATGCATGCATCGCATCCATATATCATAAACATTGATTACACAAATGCATTATATCATACATACAACATGACTTTACATTTTAGCTAACATTTTACCCTTTTCAGGATAAGATTAACAGCTATCATTAACAATGTGCAGAGCTTTTGATACAATTCAGATATGCTCCAGACACGGATGCCATTCTGATACTCATTTCGAGCCTCTTTCAGATGCAGTACAGATACGCTCCAGACACAGATGTCATTCAAATACTCATTCAGATTCAACCTTTTGATACAGTACATATACGCTCTAGACACGGATGCTATTCTGATACTCATTCGGGTTTAATGTTCCAACACAGTACAAATACGCTCCAAACACGGATGCTATTCTGATACTCATTCGGACTCAACTTTCAGATACAGTTCAGATACGCTCCAGATATGGATGCCATCCTGATACTCATTCAAATTCAACCTTTCGATACAATTTAGATACACTCCAGATATGGATGCCATCCTGATAATCATTCATATTCAACCTTTTGATACAGTTCAGATATGCTCCAGATACCGATGCCATCCTGATACTCATTCAAATTCAACCTTTTAATATAGTTCAGATACGCTCCAGATACAGATTCCATCCTGATACTCATTCAGATTCAACCTTTTGATACAGCTCAAATACGCTCCAGATACGGATGCCATCCTAATACTCATTCAGATTCAACTCTCAAATATAGTTTAGATATGCTCCATACACAGATGCCATTCTGATACTCATTCAGATTCAACTTTCAGATACAGTTCAGACACGCTTTAGACACGGACGACATTCTCATACTCATTCTTTCAACTTATAAATTACAACAAAAACAATCACCTTTGGATGGCATCTTTAAGCCCATCTCCTACAACTTTCTAGCACCTCTCCAAATGGCATCTTTAAGCCCATTCCCTCGACTATCACATCGCCGAGTGCAAATTTCTGGGCACTCTAGTGTCCAATCACTACAACATTTAGGCTCTCCAGCAACAATTGAAAAATGTTGCCAGAACTCTGAAAATCGTTGCCTAAAACAATAGGGGATGTTTTCTAGGCGTCTCCTGTGCGAGCGTTGCCTATTGTTTGAGGCGATGTTTTTTTATGTTTTTTGGGAATGCTTTTGAAAAACGTCGCCTATAGTAAAGGAATAGGGGACGATTATTTACGGCCTCTGAGACAACGTTTTTTAAGCGTTGCGTTGCCAAATTCGGCTACAATTAACAATCGTTGCCTTAAACTTGAATCATGAAGATCGTTTTTGAAGTGTAGCCATAGCTTATAGGTTGTTGTTTTATAGTGTCCACATAAAATATACAATTTTGCAATTATTATCAAAATAATATAGTCAATAATAATTGGCTTCAAAAATAATATTGAGTATATAACTTAAACCATACATCCATAAAAGTTGTAATATAATAAAATCGAGTTCAAACTTTAATTCAAGATATAGTATATAGAGTACACAAAATGCCTAACGTAATAATATTACTTTTAATACTTTGAAGTATGACCCTAGTAAAATAACTAAAAACATAGTTCAGCAAAAGAACAAAAATCATATTTCAAGTTTAATGCTTTCAACTACAAGCCAAAAAAAAGACATCATCCAACTCATTCAAGTTTGTCTTCTAGGAGTAAAGCATCCAGATCGTCCTCTTGAAATTCGTTAGATATGTCATCCTCCATAAATTCTTCATCTACGTTGTCCTCTTGAAATTCACCACCTATATCCTCCTCTTGAAATTCATCATCTAGATCTATGTCGTCCTCTTGAAATTCGTCATCTACGTCGTCCTCTTGAATTTTATCATTTAGGTCGTTCTCTTGAATTTTATCATTTATGTCGTCCTCTTGAATTTCATCATTTATATCGTCCTTTTCAACATCTTCATTGATACATTGCTGCATAAGAAAATAAAATAAAACACATTAACCATAAGTATTTTTGGTCCAAAGGACAATTAAGACATCAACAAGAATTAAACCTCGCACAAATAAAAACTAAACCAATGAGCAAAACACATTGTTTATATTCTTCACATCTCATGGATGTGAATTAATTATGAAGGTTTTTAATGGATGTGAATTTTCGTTCTAAACTGTAATAGGTGACATGAGCTTACTAGAAAATAAATCAATTATGAAAACCATTCTGTTTTTGGCTCACTATTCAGGACTTAGAATAGCCTTTAACTGTATGTATGTATGTATGTATGTATGTATAACTTGTGCTATCCTTTTATGTTTATTTTTTGGAGTAAATGAACTCTGATGAACACTCTTATTTGTTGTATCTTCTTTGGTGTTCAGTATCATATGGATAAATTTACAGCATACATAGTGAGTGTTATCAAACAAGGGGGTCCCATAATCTTATCCCAGGCAAGTATATTTGTGAAATATCAATGAAAGCTCGCACAAATAAAACAGTTTCAGCCACTTCTAGGTGTTGTCACTACTTAAACAATTTCAACCACTTACTTTATTCTAGGTGTTGTCACTACTTGCAAATTTTTGCATACATTAACAACCATTTTGATACTATAACATAATTATAAAAATATAAATCAATAATATTGGTATATATGGTTACCTTTCCATGACATGGAGCATGAGTTGATGTAGATGAATGCATTTGCGGTCTTATATCCTTTGGGGAACTATTAGCATCTCCATGAGATAATCCTAACAAATCTTCAATTGACTCTATATTAATTTGAGGATTGCATTGTTGTATTACGGTCTTAAAAGCATTTTGCAATCTATCAATCTTATCTTGAAACTCGTCCCTTAATGTAGAGACCTCTTCACTGTGGGCTTGTTTCAAAGCATTAATCTCTGCCTTTCTCTTTAAGGAAGTTTTAGTTATGTTTCTCCCATAACAGCGTACCCTGCCTGGACACTCCTTTCCAAAAAAAACTTTAAAAGCTTCTGTATCACTTTCCTCCTTTTCAACCATTTCTTGAAGTTGGGACTAGCATAAATTACAAAAAAAAAATATTAGCTACTATTATAGACAATGTTGGCCGATTATATTAAGCAAACGTATTATATAAACAATGTTACATACAATTACTTTTGCAGTTTCTACATCCAGTTCCTTTCCTTTATTTCCTTTTCGAGTTTCAACAAACATTTCTGATTGAGTGGGCTCTCTTTTTTCCTTTTCACACTGCACAAATCAAAATAATTCCATAACAAATTATGTGAATTAAAATTCCTATTCACGAGTCAAAGAAAAGTTTTTCACGAATACTTTAATTGAACAAAGAAACATTCATACAAGGAATAATTTATTGAGAACAAAAGAAAGTTACCACTTTTTCATGAGTCAAAGCAAAGTTTTTGGGACCCATTCGATGCATCCACTTTAGTTGAGCTCTATTTCTAGTGTTATTTTCACTGATTGCCTACATTTAAATTTGACAGAATTATTATAATAAATATTACTTAATTATGGCATACATAGAAAGGTGTAAATTCACACACATACATAAAAAAATTATTAATCTTACTTGTATAGTTTCCTTACTCCAATAAGCACAAAGACTCTTAAACTGGGCAATTGGCACGTTTGGCGGACGATTTTTGAGTCTCTCGGTCATGTTGGAATACTTCAAAAAATGATTCTTCTTAATTTTGTGCTTATATCTTCTCCACGCCTCTCTAATAGTGGTCTCAATCCAATCTCGTGCTTCAACCGGCAAGATAAACTTCCGCTACATAAATTATAAGATAAGACAAGATCAAGAAATGAAACACTTTTTTTTTAATAATTAGACTTTCAAATTCATAGATAAAAACATACATTAGTATATCTCCAGAAACGGTTTTTATTATCATCTGGCATTCCTGACCAATTGGTGTAACATAGAGGACAAAATGTTGAGTTCCTAGCCAATGTTCCTAAGAAGAGGCTCAAGTCAGATACTACTTTTTCACTAGGACCAATTGGCTGAAAATCCTCATTAAAGGTCACTTCTACTCGCTCTTCCAAAGTTCTTGCATGAATCTTTTTGCACAAAGTTTTCCCACGAGTTTTTCTTTGGGATGTTTCTATAAAGTAATAACACAACAACATGATATCACATGTTTGCTACCAATATGTAAATAATACATGAAATCATTATTATGAAATATGAAACTAATTACCCTTTTCTTCTTCTCTATTTGTGATTGCATCTTCTTCGTTGACTTTTGCCCGATTTTGAACACTTTCTTGTCGAGTTCCTTTTTTTGATTGATTTTGATTAGAGCTACGGTTAACGCTGTTGCCCGGTTTTTCACCATTGTTTGACTTGGTTGCATCCATTTCCTTTGACTTGTGAAGATCTACATAATCATCAATCAACATTGATGGGCATTTTGGCACCCTGTTTAGCTTTTGAGAGCATTCAGCTTTTGACATCATTGTGTCCAAAGATAGATTAGATTTCTCTGGTTTCTTATTTTTGGAAGAAATAAGTATTCTCCTTACAACTGGTTTTTCCACCTTTTGAATTTTATCTCTATTGTTCTCTAGTAGATTCTCATGAATTCTTTTTTCAGCATTCCTGGTTTCAATATAATTTTCTCGTCATAATAATGTCATGAAAAGAAATATATAAATTTAAAGTATATGCAGGGATATTAACTACCTTGTGAAACTTCTTTGTTTCCATGTGCAAGAACTTCCTTAGCTTGTGGTTGCAAAAGCTTAGGTCTCTATGCTTTCTTCATAGCAATGTGGTTGTCCAATTTTCCATCAACCTTTTGAATTCTTTCTCTATTCACTGTAGCTTTCACTTGAGTTCTTTTCTTTGGCGTTTCTAATTTTAGTAAAAATTCACCAAAAGATATTAGGAATAATTTCATGTAATATATGCATAATATAAAAATTTAAAAATCACTTACCTTGTACAACTTCTTTGTCACCATGTGCATGATCTTTCATTACTTTTGGTTGCGAGAGTTTGTCTATCTCCATTTTCTTTGCAATAGTCTCTTTGTCCAAATTGTGATCAACCTTTTGAACTCTTTCTTGTTGAGTTCCTTTTTTTGGTGTTTCTAATTTTTGTAAAAATTCATTAAAAAACAGTAGGAATAATATATCTAAAGGAATTCCAAAACATAACTTTAACATACATCATTTTATATAAAATCAAATGAAACAAGAAAATGATTTACCGTCCACAACTTCTATAATTTCCTGAACCCTTTCTCTATTGTTTCCCTGTAGCATCTCATGTAACTTGTCAATTTTTTCTTTCTTAACATGTTGTAGCACTTTCTTTGTCAATTATGCACTTGATCTGACTTGAAGAGGAAAATCAAATCTTTTAGTAGGACTTCGGCCACTCCTCCTATGTGATCCACCATCTTTTACACTTCTTACATTGTCCATTATGGCCAACAACTATGATCTACAAAGGGAGAAAATTACATAATTAAATAATGAAAAATTGAGTATAAATTGACATTATGCATAACCATAAATTAACAGTATATTTGAATCTAGTTTGTTATGGTTTAAGTAAAAAAATGACAGCATGCATAACCATAAATTAAACTTTGAATCATAATCAGTACTAGAAACACATTCCCAATGCTACCTAATCAGTAATAGAATCATAATCGGTTTCATCGTCACTTCCATAACTCGTGTCACTATGATCACTCTCTATTGCTTTTTGGTTGTGAAGTTCTGACAAAGGAATTTCAAAGATATCATCCGGCAAATCTTTCCTAACCAAATCCACTTCACAATCATCCCTTAATGTATTAAGATTTGTTGAAATATCATATTCTTGGGCATCTGTACTTAAAGATTCTCCCATGTCAAATGATTCCCTTGGAAGTGCATTTAGAACATAGTGTTTGTTTTTGTTTAAAGGATCTTCAATAAAGAAGCATTGTTGAACTTGAGATGCCAACACAAATGGATCATTTTTGTAGCATTTTTTGTTAAAGTAAACCAACGGAGATCCATATTTATCCTTTTCATCCACAAACCAATCACATTTGAACAATACATATTTTTCATGACCATAATAATCTAACTCTATAATATCTTTTATTGCCTCATAGTAAGTCACACAAATCTTTTTGGGATTTTCATCCTTCGCATTTCTAAGAACTTGAGTCACCGCTTCTAATGTCACACCACTATTTTGTGTTTTAAGCCTTGCTTCACGATTTGTTGTATGAAACCTGTATCCATTATAACATAACCAGAATACCTTCTAACAACATCATTTGGTCCTCTAGATAACACCTTCAACCATTCAGTAACTTTCTCATCCATGAGACGTGTTTCAAACCATTGAATAAAATCTTCTCTTTGATTGTTAGCTTTTCTGGACTTCCTTTTTTTTAGAGGATTATGATCATTAACCTCATGCTCTCTACAAAATAAATAACTAATATTTTAATACAAAAGAAAAAGAAAACTTATAGTGAGAATGAAATTTTGTATCAAGTAGATGAGTGTACCTAATGTACTCTTGCACTTCATCGCAATTGAATAAAATGTAGTCGTGAGCTTGGTTTAGAGACTTATGATCAAGGGAAATTAGTTTCTTTCCCCCGATTGGATGACCTATGTTTAGAGTATCATCGCTATTTCGTGTCATTCTATTCATCCTTGTGTCTACAGCACTAGACAAATATCTTGAACAAAATGTTAGAGATTCTTTAACTAAGTATGCTTCAGCGATAGAACCCTCTGGACGACTCCTATTACGAACAAAAGATTTTAAATCACCCAAATATCTTTCCATATAATACATCCATCGAAATTGAACCGGTCCACCCAATCTGACTTCATTTGCCAGGTGAATTGGTAAGTGAACCATTATGTCAAAGAAACTCGGAGGGAAGATACGCTCGAATTGGCAAAGTGTTTCAGCAATTTCTACTTCCAAGTAATCCAATGATTTCACATCTATAACCTTCTGGCATAAACACCGAAAAAATGAACAAAGTCGAAGCAAAGGGATAACAATTTGATTAGGGCATATCCCTCTTATTGCTACTTGCAACAAGTAATGCAATATAATATGAGCATCATGACTCTTGTATCCATAAACTTTTCCTTCATTAACTTGAACACATCGAGAAATATTGGATGCAAGGCCATCAGGAGGTTTTACTGTCTTTAAAACATTACAAAAAATAGTTTTCTCTTGCTTTGTTAGGGAGAAACATGCCTTAGGGATTTGAGTTTTCTTACCATCACTTGTTTCCTTCAAATGGAGTTTTTTTCTAATCCCCATGTGTTGTAGGTCCAAACGAGCTTTTGCATGATCCTTTTTCTTCCCTTCAATATCTAAGAGAGTCCCCATTATATTATCACAAATGTTCTTTTCTGTATGCATAACATCTACATTATGGCGCAAAGAATTATCCTTCCAATATGGTAATTGCCAAAAGATAGACTTTTTCTTCCATGGACCAGGCCTTTTTTTATGATATTTTTGCCCCACTACGTCAGGAATCTTTTCTAAGTCTTTTAAAATCATTGTTGAATCTAACAAGGAGGGTGCAGACCTATATTCTGGCTTTCCATCAAAAGAACTTGAATTTGATCTCCAACTATGATTGGAATCCAAAAAGACTCGATGACCCATATAACACATCTTTCGACTATGTTTTAAGTATCTTGAAGAAGTTTTATGATTACAAGCAGGACAAGCAAACTTCCCTTTAGTACTCCAACCGGATAACATATCATATGCAGGGAAGTCATTCACAGTCCACATAAGAGCTGCACACATTTGAAATGATTAATTTTTTGAAATATCATATGTTTCTACACCGACTTCCCACAATATCTTAAGCTCCTCAATAAGTGGCTGAAAATACACATCAATTTCATTTCCGGGTGACTTTGGTCCAGGAATAAGTAACGACATCAAACAATTTTCAGCCTTCATGCACAAATTTGGCGGATAGTTATATACTGTTAATACAACAGGCCATGTTCTATGTGAAAGACTCATGGTCCTAAATGGATTAAACCCATCACTTGCCAACCCAAGTCTGATGTTACGAGTTTCACGAGCAAAATCTGAATGTTTGGCATCAAAGTCTTTCCATGCTTGGGCATCAGCTGGATGCCTTAACTTCCCATCCCTTGAACGATGGTCTGCGTGCCACCTCAATGCATCAGCTGTCTTTGAACACATAAAAAGTCTTTTCAATCTTGGAATCAATGGAAAATGTCTTAGAACTTTGGCGGGAACCTTATGAGCTTTTATAGATTCTTCAAGATCATTAGCAACTTCAGGATATTCAATCCACCTTGACGTGCCACAAATATGACATGAATCATCTTTCTCGTGATCTTTCCAAAACAACATGCAGTTGTTCGGACATGCATCAATCTTTTTATAGTCTAAGCCCAAATCTTTTATCATAGATTTTGTTTTATTGAAAGAGACAGGGATGTTCAAATCTGGCATAGCCTCTTTTAACAACTCTACGAGAGCAGTGAATGATGCATTACTCCATCCATGGAGACATTTCAACAAATAAATTCGAATAGTGAATGATAAAGAGGAAAACTTTTCACAACCAGGATACAACTCTTGATTTGCATCATCAACTAGTTTATAAAATTTCTTTGCATCTTCATTTATCCCTTCATGTACTCCACCTCCTTCAGCCACACCTTTAAATGTCTCAAATAGTAAGCCATCGATATCATCATGAGATGATGTTTCATCATCACTATCACCATCAAGATCTATAAGACTCTCATCTTCACCATGATAAATCCATTCAGTGTATCCCTTTACAAATCCTTTACTACATAAATGGTCATACACTACATCTCTTACTTCCTAACTATCATTGCAACATACAGAACAAGGACACAAAATCTCTTCTTCTTCAACCATTCCTTTGGTGAATGCAATATCCAAAAAGTAATTTACACCGTCCTTATAACTTTGACTGTGTGGAGGTAACTCCACCCAATCCTTCTTTATCATGTTTGGTTTTCTAAAATGAAATAAATTATACATTACTCTTTATCATATAAAGGATGGAAAAACACCATGGTTCATATATCAACATAGATTTTACACATGCATAGTTGTTATAAAAATTTCATTTATAATCTAAATATACACTAAACATGCATTCCAATACCAAACATAGAATAAATTGGTGAACTTTAAATCTAAACATGCACAAACATTTCATAGTCTAATATAATATGTATTTGTTGTTTCTTTTCAAACTATATAATATGTATCTGTTACCTGAATTCTTTCAACTTGATTCCAGCAGTAATAGAAACTAAAATCTTGTCCTTAGTTACAAGCGACT